TGTTCACAACGTTATATGCTCCTCACATGGAGAAAATAAATGAAACTGAAGGGTGCTGCTAGAAAAAAAAGAACAAGGCTCAGAGGGAGAACGAGAGGAGGATGGGGTGAATATGATCACCTGATACACACAAAATGTGTGTTGAAATCCATTATTTTCTACAATTAACATACACAAATTTTAAGGTTCTATTTTACTCATTTATTCATTTATTGAATAGGTTTAGAATATTTGTTCTTTAAGTGTTTGGGGTTTTGAATTCTTTAGTCTTAACCCACTATCTGATGACTAGCTGGTCCAGATTGTCCCGTTCTGTAGCCTGCCTCTTCACTCTGGACCATCTCCTTTGTTCTGCAGATGCTTTTTAACCTGATACAATTCTCCTGTCAACTAGTGTTATTTCCTGGTCTTTTTAGAGTCATTTCTGGAGAAGTTCAGAAGCCATTGCATAACCCTGTATCTTGAAGCATTTCCCATTTTCTTCTAATAGCTTCCAAGCTCAGGGTCTGATTTAAGGCTCTAGGTCCATTTTGAAATGCTTCTTTGTACAATTGAAAGATGGGGATCTAGTTGCAGACTCCTACATGAAGTATCCAATTTCCACAGCAATAGTTGTTAGTCCATGTTTTCTGTACATTTGTCGAGAATCGGATGGCTGTGGCTGTGGGACTTTATGTCTGGGTCTTCTGCTCACTTCATTTGTACTCGCACAAGGCTGGTTTCTGTTGCCCTGGCTCTGGTACCATCTGAAGTCAAGTCCTGGGACGCCTGCAGTGCTGCTTTCTTCAGGATCGTTTTGGCCATTGGGAATCTCCTGTGCTTCCATATGAATCATGGAGTTTGTTTTGTTTTGTGAAAAATGACATTGACTTTGGATAGGGGTTGCATTGAATCTACAGGTCATTTTCAGCAAAGGGGCCATTTTCACAATGTAAATTCTGATCCATGAACATGGAAGGCCTTCCACCACTTGTGTCTTCTTCAATTTCTGTTTTCGGTGGTTTAGAGATTTATTCTAGAAGTCTTTAGTCTCATTGGTTAAGTTTATTCCTTGGTATTTTATGTTGTTTGTTTGAGACTGTTGTATTATTTTCTTGATTGCTTTTCAGAAAGTTTGGTAGATGAAAAGCTTCTGCTTTTTATTTGTTGGTTTTGTATACTGCTGCTCTGCTCACAGTGTTGACCACTTCTGAGTCTTCTGCTGGGATCTTTTAATCATGAGCTTGTATCACCAGGAAATATAGATAATTTTACTTTCTTTCCTGTTTATAAGTCTTTTATTTTGTTATCTAGGCCAACTAATCTTTTTCAATAGGACCAATGCTATAAAATAGAGAGAGAAATAGCCACCTCAACAAACAGTTCTGCAGCAATCGGACATTTGTATCTAAAATAATCTCAACAAAAATATTGCACAGTTTACAAAAATTAACTCAAAATAGATTATAGGTGTAAATGAGAAGACCTGTGAAAACTTCGTTAGGCATAAGAATGACTTTTTAGGTCCAACACCAAATGTGTGATCCATAGAAGAAATAATTTGCAAGCTGAACTTCATTAAAAGTGAAAATATCCATCTGTGTACTGGGAGATGGCTCAGATGGTAACGTGCTTGTTTCCTGAGCCCTAGGACCTGAGTTTGGATCCCCACACCCAGGTAAAAGCAGGCACAGTGGTGCAAATCTGCTCCCAGCCGTGTTGGTAGCGGTGGCCAGAGAAGTGTAGATCCCCAGGACTCAAATGCCAAGAGTGCAGCAGCCAGTCCGCAAGCTCCAGGCTCAGTGATAGAATCCACATCAAAGAGTAAAGTAGAGAGCAACCAAGAAAGACCTAGATATCAATCTCTGGCCTCACATGCATATGTATTCACACATATACACACACATTTACACACACACACATGCATAGACACACACATCTATCTGTAAAAGCACTATCAAAAGAATAAAAATGGCTGGAAGTGTAGTTCAGGTGTAAAATACTCATACAGGCCCTAAGTTTGATCCCAAGTACCCCAGGAACAATTTACAAAATACATATCTAAGCAAGTATACAAAGGATTCTTAAGACACAACAAGAAGCCAAACTACCCAACTTAGAAAAAAATAAGCCCTAAATATTGACACCTCACCAAGAGGATATACAATGAGAACTAGCCATAAGGAGAGATGCTTACCATCGTATGTCACCAGACATTCATATCCGAAAAAGATAACAAGATACCACTACACATGTGTTTGAATGAGTACTTGACCACTGACATCATGAAGTGGTGATGAACTAGGGACCACAAAGAGTGCTCATCTCTCTTGGTGGAAAAGCAAAATGTACAACTATATCCCTAATTGCTAATCCTCAAAAGCAAGTGAGATGTCCTTCAGTGGGTTAGTACAATGGGATATTAGCCAGTGATAAAAATCAAATGAACTAACAATCACAAAAAGATATGAAAGTCACCTTAAAGTCACATTGCCAAGTAAAAGAAACTAATCTGAAACTCTGCATGTCATAACATTCCACTCTACGACATTCTGGAAAAGGCAATATTAGTAAAAAGTTTAGTGGTGGCCATTATTTAGGAAGAAGGGATGGAGTGGCCACCTAGAGGGTTTTTAGGAAACTAAATGAAACTAAATGCTAGACACATTTTTTATGTATTTGTAAAAGGTCACGGGATTCACACAGTCAGAATGAGCCCTGCTATTAACTATGAGCCTTTGGAGATGATAATATAGAAATACAGGTTCATCCTAGAAAACAAATGTGCCATTCTGATATGTAGTGTTGGGAGGGGAAGTCACTGGACATGTGGGAATGCTGCCCTTTCTGCTCAGCTTTTCTGTGAACTGAAAATGCTCTAAATAATAAAGTGTATCCATTTCCATACCCCTTGAGTCTTCACCAATTGGAAAAGAACAACCAATAAATTATTGTTGGTTAAGAAACGCAACACTATGGACATAATCAAGTGATTTGTCATTTGATAATAATAATAAATGATACTGACGTTAATATTACTTGCAATAACCGTACAATATCAGCTACCCCTGATAGTATGCAGCAAAACACAGAATTATTGCTGTGTCATTGTTTCCTGCACTATTTCATTTCAGTCTAATCACGAGCAAACATCAGACAAACCTCTTGGGAGCTCTGTCATGTGAGAACTAGCCAGTGCTGATTAAAAGCCAAGGACCAGGCTAGAGAAGTCAACACTGAAAGTATTTGCCACGCAAGCAAGAGGACCAGAATTCAAGTCCCCAGAGCCCACACCACTGCCAGGGAGCGCAGCTGCCCACACACAATTCCAGCCTTGAACTGGATTGCAGGGCATCCTTGGAGCTAGATTAAGTAAAGCTAGGCTTATCTGTGCCTTCTGGGCTTAACTGAGAGACCCTATCTCAAAGAAGAGCAGAGAAAGATTCCCACAGTCACCCTTGGCCTCTGTGTGCACACACATGTGCACCCTCATGCGCCCATAGACACACTCGCCCACATGTGTGGACACACACACACACACACACACACACACACACACACACACACACTACATGCATGCATACACCCACTTGGAAGAAATTTCAGGGACTTAAAAGACAAGGAAAAGTGAAGAAACGCTGAAGGTGGGCATGACTAAGCAGAAGGCACAAGGAGACCGGATACTCAAGCAAAGGGAGGACTCTGAAGAAAGTTGGGGTGTTTGCATGCCAGTGTTAATTTCCTGATTTCATTCATTGTACTACAATTATGTAAACTGTTCAAATTAGATGAAGCTAAGGGATGCTATGTGGAAAGCTATGCATTACTATTTTTGCAAACTTTCTATAATTTTAAAATTTCTTCAAAATAAGTTTTTGTTTAAGAAAAATGTATTGTTTGTTTTCTGTGTCTGCTTTCCTCACCAGGGTTTTTCTAATCATTTTATCCACCATATTCTCAAATTTGAAAGCCAAGACGTAGCATTTTTGAGACATTTTTATCAGCTTTCTGTCCTAGCCTATTTTGGGATATCCTTCCCTGCCTGCTATAACTTCAGAGCGTGTTCTTTTTCCGTACCCTACAGATTTCATTTCAATTTTAGCTGCTGAAGCTCCTTCTGCTATCCTTTTGTACTCTGCTTAATTACTGGAGTAAAGCCTAGGGCTAGATCCACTAAAGCGGAAATGAGGGGGTCAGGATCGGTAGCTCCGTTTCATCACCTGGAAGCATATTGCTGTTGGTAAGGCAGAAGTCAAGGTGGACCACTTAGTCCTCTTCCAAAGGTTGCAGGAGAGCCCGCTCTTTCTTCACCGTTGAGTTTATATTCAGATCTCCTGACCCGCTCTTTTTACACCGTTGAGTTCATATTCGGATCTCCTAACTCGGTTTTTCTTCCCCATTGAGTTCATATTCAAATCCCCTGATTCTCCCACTGCTTGACTTTTCCTCCCAATCTCTCATTCCTCAACTTGGTGCTGAAAAATGTACTTTTCTTTATTATTAAGAAGAATAAAGCTACTCTTCAAAAAGGAATTCATTAGCCTCTGACATTTGAGGGAATCATGAACACTGGTGTTATTGCATATGAGTTGTCAAATTTTATCATCATATAAACACTTTGACGTTGCTCTTTACGTAGGTAATAATCTTTTGCACTCTTTCTCCTTTTCTCCTTCCTGAATATATTCATGGAGTTAATATCTTATAAACTGCTATCCTTCTGCTCCAGTGTATTTCTTTTTTATTGCCTTTCTTCTTTATTTTAATTTATATTGCAAATAAATTTTTTTCAGGGCTGGAGAGATGCCTCAGTGGTGTTAAGAGCACTGGCTACTCTTCCAGAGGACCTGAGTTTAATTCCCAACATCCACATGGTGGCTCACAACCATCTGTAATGAGATCCGATAGCCTTTTCTGGTGTGCATAAAGACAGCATTTATATACATAAAATAAATAAATACATCTTTTAGAAAAACAAAATAATTTTTTCATACAGTATGTTTTGATCACAGTTTCCACTCTCTCATCTCCTCCCAGACACTACCCGCTCCCCACCTATCCAACTTCATGCATTCTTTTTCTCTCTCTTTAGAGCATGCAAAAAAGAAAAAGAAGCATGAGAAAGACACATACAACAATAAAAACACAAAATGTGCGACCATAACGTACATGCAAAAGAACAATAGAGTAAAATAATGCCCAATATGAGATGAAATTTTTCCAAAAATACAATTGAGTTCATTTTCTGTTGGCCTTCTACTGCTGGGCATGGGGCCTGCCCTGAAGTGTGGCTTCTATGCCTAGTGAAACCCCGCTGGAGAAAGCTAAATTTTCCTTTGCAAGCAGTCATCAACTAGTTCTTAGTTAGAAATAAGAAATCATGTCCACTTTCTGCTCTCAGTGCTGGGACCCGTTGGTTTAGACTTGTACAGGCCCTGTGCGTGCTGTGGTCTCTGAATTCACGTGTGTGTCACCCATCCTCACTGACTCTTGCAGTCTTCCAGCCTCCTCTTCTCCATAGCATCCTGACCCCTGAAGGCCAGGCTCTTGGCCACCTGAGCAGGGTCAGCCATGGTTCCGCCTCATGGAGTAGGTCTGAAATCCAATCAGAAAGTGGTTGGTTACTCCCATCAGTTTTGCGCCACTGTTGTACCATTGTATTATTCATACAGGTCACCACTGCAGGTTAAAGATGGGGTGTTGTGCCCCTTTCTCCTCTGGCAGCATGCATAGTACTTCTAGTTCCATGAACACGAGTCAGTAGGGATAAAGGCTCTATGTAGGCATCAGCTTGACTTCTCCATGTTTGATGAGGTATGGAGGTGTTGTCTTTAGCAACAGTGTCTTACCATCAGTGTGTGAAGAGCAACCAGTAACCTTGACAATAGACCTGAGTTATCTGGAGTTTCTATGGAGATTCTTTGGCCAACAACTTAGTTCAATGTAACCCATCCCAGATCTTGGAGGTTTCACTTGGTGGCCAAAACTGTTCACTTTGTCTCCATTATTTGGTGACTCCATTTAGATTTCTTTCATATGTGTATATATTTTAAGAAGCAGAAAAGGATATTTCTAGAAGTTCTTTCGCCTTTTTCTCCTTTTTGAAAATTTTGCACTTACCTTTCCATTACAGTGATGTCTTCCCTCCTGACTTTAAGAAATCAATACCTCAGTGATATTCAAGTATCTGTGCTCTCTCAGGTCTTGTCCTCAACTTCCACATGCATGGATTCTACTCCCTTCAAGGCATCACTATCTAGCTGTATCATAAGCATCTGCTCTCAAAATTTTACTCTGCAGTATTTTGATTGTGGAACACAGGGAATTAAATAATGAAAATATTCACAGAATACAATGCAAGAACTTTAATTAATGCTACAAACTAGTATGTACAAATATAAAAGATACCCTCATCATTATGTTAATTTTTAAAATCGGAGCATATATAAATATGGTCTGTTTATTTATGGTGCAAATATGAACAAAACCCTCTAAATTAATGAATTAAGGGCTCTCCATAATCTATAAAATAATTCCTGGGGGGATTAAGTTTTTTACAACTAAGACTATCTCTTTGGCCTCCTTGCCCATTGCACATTCAAACACATTGCACACATCACATACATTCATGGACACACACACACACACACACACACACACACACACACACACACACACACGAGCGCGTGCGCTTCCATCCTGAATGTTCACCCAGGGCAGCTTTCTGTATCAAATGTCTACTCACGTGCCTGTGACCCTGTCTCTGCTCAGAGCTGTGTCTCCTCTAGTCATCTCTGATGCCTTGCTCCAGACCCTTTTCTTCTAGGACTTTTTCCCTGGCCCCACTTTCTCCCAATATAGTAACTGCACTTTTTTATACTACTTCTGTGTCTTGTTTATGCAAATTCTTGTACGCATTCTATGTCATAATTATTTCCTTAAGCATCAATTTCTTCTCAAGCAACCATTGGCTTCCTGAAGACAGAGAATTGACCAGCTCACCCCTTTTACCCTGAGCACCAATTTTTATCACCACAGCATATTACTCAGGATATAAATATTCGTAGATCTGAAATGAGAGCATAGGTGAAAACATCTAACATGCCACAGAGTTCTCTGAAATGAGAGGTGATGTTACTGCTATTTCAGTGCACAGAACAGCCCACTGGAATTTAAATCAACATTGTGAAGAGGCCCTTACATTGATTAACATACATCTGGATCTTAAATCTAAATGAAGAGATAAGATTTCCTTAGAAGAGGTGTCCAAGTACAGAATAAAAGAGAAGTAAAAGTCAATGAAAGTATTTACATTTTATTACAGACTCAGTAATAAAAACTTTTATGTTGACTTTTTAAATCTAGTTCTTATATGACTTCTGCTTCTCCAAGTTTTATCAACCCTTGAGCACAAAGTGAGTCATAATGCCTGCAACAGCTTGCTTGTATGTCCTCCATTTTGACACAAGACACATGTTCCACCCAACACACACATACATTTTTCTGGAATTCCTGGAGACAAGCTCTGTATACTTCAGCTAAGGAAAATATGGTGACAAAGAAGGTCTTGTTTAAAATACCTGGAAATGTTGTGCATACATTATCATGTACGCTTTTGTTCCTACAATCTACGCACAAGCGTGCTCACACAAACGTTAAATGCACATTGTAACATTTAGTACCAGACTTCACAGGGAGATTGAGCTGAGAAGCTATCACTCGAGGATTTCTTTGTTTATAGCTCCTCAGCAAATTTTTCCTTCCTGTTTGCCAACACCATCTCGTCTTTGACAACAGCTCGTCTGCTGGACTAGTCATCCTCGGCCTGAAATTACTTACTGTCTTTTCTCCCTGAGCCTGAAGGGCCAGCCGTTTGTTCTCAGATGTCTGGTTTCTTTACTATTGATAGAGAAACCTTTAATGCCTTTCTCATATTTTGAAAACAGTTTTCAAACTTGCGATGATTACCGATTTGGCTCGCTCGGTCTTTTGCCTGTGAGCTTTAGCTTATAGACTAGAAGGCATGGCATGTTGGCACTTGCCACTGTTTCAATTTTCTTTTTCCTCCTTGTTTGTTTCTTTACCAGTATTTTGCAAACCAATAGGCTAAATGCATGTGTAACATAACCCTGCCATTTGCTGGGTTTTCATCTGTCTTCAGCCTCTGGGTTCCTCAACAAGGAACCGGGAAACATCAGCTTCAGCCAGTGTGTGGAAGCAGGGGCCTGCTGCAGGAATGTCTTTGCTGGAACTGTCAGATGTCTTTAAGGCATGCACAGCACTTTTTTTGTGAGCCCGTTCTGTTTTACATGCAATTAATTGTTCAGAAGATTGCCTTTGAGTTGTCTCTACCAACAGATTTCTGTGGAAGGCATTGTACAATATGAATCTTAAATGGTCTTATTAATTAAAAAAAAAAAAAAAAAAAAAAAAAAGCTCAGGAGCCAGGTATTGGGGTAAATGCTGGAAGATCAGAGAAGCAGAACAAGCCACAGCTAACCTCACCTCGCCAACTTCTCAGCGGATCCTGTTTCCTCAAACTGGAAGCCTCTGCGTCCTCATCCAAATGGATCTCAGCTGAACTGCTGCTAAAAGCCTAAAAACTTAAAAGCCTCTACTAGTTCCTGGTCCTCACACCTTATATACCTTTCTGCTTCCTGCCATCACTTCCTGGGATTAAAGGCATGTGTCACCATGCCTGGCTCTGTTTCCGGTGTGGCCTTGAACTCACAGAGATCCATCCAGAATGCTAGGATTAAAGGCGTGTGTTACCACTGCCTAACCTCTATCTTTAATATAGTGGCTGTTCTGTTCTCTGACCCCCAGATAAGTTTATTGGGGTGCACAATATATCAACCACAGCATTGCATTCCTCGTATACTTCTGTGAACTCCTCACCACTGTAGTAAATTCATATATGTCTACCCTTCCCTAGGGCACAGACAACTGTGTTGTCAGTTCAGGGATATAAACTCCAACTTTTTGTTAAAATCCCAGCTTTCTGACAGGAGGAATCCTTCCTTGAATCAGGAAGAGCTAAAACGGATCCCCTTTGGACAAGGCCTTGAGGCCTCTGTGACCTCCACCAGGATGATAATAGCCGCTCAAAGGTAGATTATGGTGTGTTATTCACTCTCTTCATCCCATAAGGAAGTGGATCGTGTGCATGCATGAGAAGCAAGGCCTTCTCCACAGTGTTTTTATAATGTGTTTAGCTAGCCCTGAGTTCTTGTTCCTCCCGCCTACGCACACTCCCCGTCTCTGTATCTCCATCTCTGCCTGCCTTCTCTTCGGATCTTCTGAAAACTCTCTCGGGATGCTGTCTACTTTTCTGTGAATTAGTGTAGTGGCTTTCTTCGTGTCCACAGAGCTGTTTCCTTCCATAAAAACAGCTCACGTGAAAACATTTCCGCCAGCTGTTACTGCTTTCTAAAATTATCTGTTTTCACTTTGATTTATAAAAATGCTACAATTAATTAGTTAATACCTCTGGGTACATTTATAAAAAGTAAAAAGTAAGGCAAATACCACTGACCCTGAGTTGTTACAAAAGCACGAAGAAAGAGCACCACCACCTCTGCCTGAGCAAATCTTCAGGCAGCACCTGAGTCCCCAGTGGCTGGTGTCCTGTGCCCTCGATGGTAAACAGAGCCCAGGGCCAAAGCCTTGAGCCAGTTCAAGGGCATCAAGGCTTCTTCCAGTACAGGAAGGGCCCTGACCTTGTGAGCCCAACAGCTAGGGTGCTAGATTCTAGAGTCAGCTCTAAGTAGTTTCATGTATCCTTCCTCAAAAGCTGAACAGTGATGTCAGAACTGCTTGTAAATGATCGGCAATGAGCGTGCAATAAATAAGCAACTGTGTGCTTTTCGTGTGCACACTGTTTCACTTTCTACCATCCTAAGCTGTGTTCTTTCTCTCTCTCTCTCTCTCTCTCTCTCTCTCTCTCTCTCTCTCTCTCTCTCTCTCTCGTCGCTTATTTTCTCTTATCTAAGGACCCGTGTTCAGAAATCCTACTCTATCAGGGTACTTGTGTGTACTATGTAATGTGTAAGCTACTTAAAATGTAATTTGTGTATCTTAGGCTTTTTGATTCTTATTCATAAATTAAAAGCTACAAGCTGTACATTTTGAAAGCACAATGTAAGCATGAAAATCGAAGTTCTATGGAATCCAACTGAAAAATGTAGAGTGGGGGATTCATTCAGTGAGTTTAGCTGACTGGGGATAAATATATTTTATCTCTAAGAAAATATATCATATAGGAGAAAAAAGTGCACATGTAAATGAATTTTTAAATATCCCAAGTCAGGGGGAAGATCAATATAATTCAACAAGAATATATTACAGCCTTCTATATAATCAGCTCTTGGTAGGAAGGAGAAATAAAAGAAGCAGAAAATGAGATTTCTGCCCTTGAGGAGCTTACAATCCTATTAGAGAAAGGATTTTAATTCTCTCTACGGGGTATTAAACAGGTGCATTAAACCATGGAGAAAGGCTGTGCAATAGGCATACATGTATGTCTGCCCTGAGAGAACTACAGGACACTATGGTATTTATCATCTAATCCATGACAGTTTGACAGTGAGGGGGCTGTCACTCTACAGCAACAGGGAGAACTACAGCCATCTTGGGGAAACCCAAATACGTGTTTACCCCACTCGTAGGTCCAAGATTGTGGACATCATCATGCTGACCTCTCTCTCTCTTCAAGTTTGCTTGAAAGCAGAACAGTTCTAATCAACATATTGTCTTGATGTTTGTCCATCTGAGCAGCAGACGAAGGACAGATACAAACTACAGAAGACTGAGCCCGTTTGGAATCCCGTCTTCCTCATCCTGCTGGGGACAGTTTCCCTTTTGAATGTCCTAGCCCACGAATCTGCACCACTAGTCATCTTGGTTTCAACTAAGAATTTTGGACCAGGTGATCTCCGTTTCTAAAACTTACCTGCCTACCCAAGTCCAAACAGAAAGCAGAGTGAGACGAGCCAGGCATGCTTCCTTATGCGGGTGTAAGGCGGCTCTCTTAGAAGTGCACATTGGCTGAGACAACCACACTTAATTCACAGTTGGCCAGAGGACTTCATGTTACCCCAACTACTCAAACAATTCAGACTTAAGCTCTGTGATCAATGTGTTTGGGCATGCTGTCTGGCTTGTCCCACACATCACCAGCTGCGATGCCCTTCAGAAAGTAAGTGGTCAGTAGATTTGGGTTAAATGAAGGAAGGGGTAGGTACAGCTACAGACAGGAGAATAAAGGTTATAGATAACAACTGCCACTGTCCTCCCTGCCCCAGAGAAATAGCTCCAAAGGAGTTATCAAGTATCCTGCCCCAGTATCAGAATTGGTTTCTCCAATGCACACAAATATATATTCACATACTCTGTGTAGTTGTTGTTCAAATGTGCAGGTAGGGATGAGGCAACGTGTGAAAACCTTTGCCCCCATGGAGCTTATACTAACTCATCTGTTTCATATCATGTGGTGAGTGACTATCCTGAGTGGGTCTTTTGCAATTCCTAGTTAGATGAGATGAGCCCTGGGCTCCACAGACAACTGTATTGAAGATTCCTTTAAGGAACTGCACAGAGCTAATCAAGGAGAGAATAAAGGGGCTGTCTCAGGGAAGGCATGAGTCAAGTGTTATGACAGGGTGGAAGGCGGGACTATGTGAAAGAGTGGAGAGGCTGTATCTGAGCCAGACAGATAGCTCATGGTAGAATGCTCTCCTAGCACGGACTTGGGGTTTCTCCCCAAACACCAACAAAGAAATAAAAGGAGGTGGAGGAAGAGAAGGGGAAAGAAGAGGAGGAAGAGGTGGGGGGAAGGAGAAAGAGGAAGAGGGGGAGGAAGAGGCTGCACCAAAAGAGCAGCATTGCCCTTCAGGCTCCCAAACCTCCACTACTTTTAATAGCAATGAGAAAATCAATATCCTTTTGAAGAAGTCTAAGTAAGCCTGGTTGGGTATAAGCTTCTGAGCACAGCCATGTGTGTTTCATTTTCTTAACTAGCAGTGTCGAGGCCTGGACAGAATGCTAATTACTGAATTCTTTGTAGACATAGAGACTATCTGCCATGCAGTACATAGGACAGAGTATTTAATCCCTTGACAGTACAAGAGCTGGAAACTGTTGCCAGTCCGCATTGTCATGCTAGAAATCCCAAACAGACAGGTTGAATAGCTTGTCCAAAGTCACACAGCTTGCAAATGAGGAAACTGGGATTCAAACTAAGGCAGTCTAGCGCCTACATCTACGCTTTAGGCACCCATTTCCAGCTATACTGCCATTCTGTTACTGGGATGAAAAATGGTTTATTCAAAGAGGTCAATGACTGTGGATGCCCTAACCTTCCAAGGAAGCACAAATGTGCAGTTCCCTTAAGAAAGAAGGAAAATGTCTTCTCTTATGGTATTTTGTTCTTGAGGAAACAATTTAGGTACAGGCTGTTTTCCGAGGCTTCTCAAATTGATAGCTTATCTCTACTTTTAATTTTATTTATTAATTTTTTCAAGACAGAGTTTCTCTGTGTAGCTTTGTGCCTTTCCTGGGTCTCGCTCTGTAGAACAGGCTGACCTCAAACTCACAGAGATCCGCCTGGCTCTGCCTCCCGAGTGCCGGGATTGAAGGTGTGCGCCACCACCACCGCCTGGCGATAGCTTACCTCTAGATGCACTGTTACCTTGAAGAACTTGGACATCGAGTGAAGATTTTGAGAAAGGAAACTGTTGAATCTTGCCATCTTGCCACCAGGCTAGGCCTGGGTGGGTTTCACCTGAGAAAGTAAGCCACTTGGCTTACACTGCGAAGAAAGAAAAGAGGTGATGAGTGCTTCCCACAAGGATCTAGAATTTCTAGAAAAACAAGTCTGAACACCTCTGAACATTGTCTGGTGTCCACTTTAAACATCCTGTTCCTCCCAAAGTCACCAAATGCTCTGTGTGACTTTAAGGCCTCTGCTAATTTGGAAGAATGAGCCAGCCCTCCGCCAGCGAGCTGCTGGCCTTGGTGAACAGTCTGTAGTATCTCTTCTGTTGCTGCTGTTGACGGGAGACTGAGCACTTTGTTCCCCTAGTCTGATTAAATTCACAATGTGACAAAGGAAACTACTAATACAGTCACAATTATCACAATGACACTTGTAACCCCCAAAAGAATTCTTTGCCATTCTAATGACAGGCCACCTCAAAAATCTCAATCTCAGCGAATGATTCTCAGCTCCTTTCTCTCTCCTGAGAGTGAGGGTTGATGTTTGCGCCATCAGGATAATCAGCACAACCACCACCTATGCTGAGCCCGATACCATATACAAGGCAACCCCACAGGACACTAAATGTAAATACCTACAGTCACCTTGAGTGCCCATTGTTGGGAAACACTGAAAAGGATGCCTGGCTCACTGTTAGAAAATTCAGAACTATTAAGTCACCTTACTTTTTCGTCTGGTTTTGTTTAATTGATAAAACACTGTGTAAAACTGTGAAGAACATACCATTGTGTAAACATGACTTCACGTGGCTGACTGTAGTTGCCATGACAACATCACAGTGTACACGTATCTAACTGAGGTCTGCCTGCACCCACTAACCACTCTTTACCTCTCCCCTCACTAGGTCTCAGGCTCTTGAAAAGTAAACAATTGTGCTTAAGACCATGATTGATTCGTACATTATGCTAAACAATGAAGATATCTTATCGGTTTGTACAAACCTGTCCATTCTGAGGCTTTTTCCTACTGAAGCAGGGAACTGGAGATGGAGGAGCAGGCAGGAGGATGACAGTTGGTTCTGGCTATTTCCACTGTAAGCTGTCCCTCTACTGTGAATGGGTTTATTTTCTGCTCTGAATGCTCCTATCTCCAACTGCTTTACATTTTGTGTTGGCTTCGGAATCTGCTGGTATGAACTGCTGGAAGCAAAATCCAACCCAGGACTGCCTGGGTTGAACCAGCCACGCTGGGCTCTAGCTTTTGGGCTCCCCTCTGGGATGAGCCGAGATCGTAGTCTTCATTTTATCCCAAGTCTTCTCCTTCCTTTAGTCCTGCAAGAAATTGGATAAAACATTATGATCTTGTCTAAGCCTAAAATCATTGCACATTTCCATACATACCACAGATGATGGTGTTCTGCTAAGGAGGAGTGACCCAAGGATGAGCATCCATTATGGTCATGGGAACCTGAACTCAGGAGACTGAGTGGCTGACAGGAACATTCCCTGAGAAATGTTCCAGAGGGAACCCTCCTGGACCCCACGCGGAAAGAGTTTTTCTGTGGTTCTCCAGGCTCCATCCATGATCTCCAGAGACTCCGTGTAATTTGACCTGGTGCATGACAGTCAGTGTCCGCTGAAGCTCAACATTGCTTTGTCTTCATTGTTTCTTTGATCGTTAGATATGCATTCATTCATCTAGATATGCATTCATTCATCATCTAGATATGCATTCATTCATCTAGATATGCATTCATTCATCTAGAAAGGGACATAAAACAATTTTAGTTTGTTTGTTTCAGACACTTCTGTGGAAGCCATCCCCGATGTGAGATCGGATCTTGCCATGTTTACTGGCTTGAATCCCTTCTCTCCATCTTGCTTCACTGGAGGCTGTTCTTAGAAACGGCTCCAGGATCTTGGCTTCCAGTCTGCCAGCCATCACTGCCCAGGTGTGTAGCTCCTGAAATACCTTTCCCCATCATCTTCTCACCTTCAAATGTGGTCCCTGAGAGTTGCTGACATTCTCTCTGAAGGCCACTGAGCTTGACACATCACTGTTCACTGAAAACCCTCAAGGGTCCACCATGTCCCTCCAGATAAGGTCTGGCTTCCCCGGGCCTTTCTACGTTAGCCAGATGGCACGGTTGGGTTTCCCATGCTCCCAACACCTGCACCTGGGTTGTTGTGTAGATAACTAGAATAAGGTTCTCAGTCTGTGCTTCCTTTGTGTCACTCACCGGTGTAAGCAGGTCCCTCCCTAACACTATCAGGCCTCTCAGCTGCATTAATGTGTATATTGATTATTCCACTTTATTCATTGTGATATAATTATCTCGGTGCATGTTTGCCTCCTCATTAGACTCTAATAATAGGAAATGGCTTATTCATCTTAGAGTCCCATCTTTGTGGGCTTAATGAATTCATGAAGTATGCAAATGAGGGAACCAGAATCGTGTACTGAGGTTCCTTCTAGATCCCTGCTTCTTCACAGTACCTTCATGATCCTGTACAGCACAGGGTTCAAGGAGAAAAGGACACCGCTTATGAGCCCATGGGGCCAGAAGTGGTCACCATCCCTACTAAGTGCAAGCCCAAGAGACCTGAGCTGGGTACGACTTCCTTCCCATCACTGAACTAAGAGAAGCAGTGTCTGGAATTTCAAAAACAGAAAGTTCCATGGTATTCCCCCTGCTGGAAATTTTCAGTTGTTTCCCACATCTAGAAGACAGAATCCAAATCCATCTGCCTGGACTGTGAGATCTGTCCGGTTCTGTCCTCCCTGTCATTTTCTGACCCTCTCACTCTTCCTCAACACATGCCCTTTATCCATCCATCCTCAGATTCTCCATTCATGTTGTTTAACTTCAATGTTCTTACATGTAATGTGCCACTGGCAAAAAAAGACCCGGGCCCATTTCCTTCTCTCATCCTCACTTAAACAACACCAGCTTTTTGTCAGGTCCCATGCAAGACCATTCCTGAAGAGTAAAAGCAATCACTTTCCCATTTGAAGTCTATGGCATTTATGATTTGTGATAAGCTACGTTTATGTACTTGATATTTTGCTTAGCTATCTACAGTTGTAAAATACCTTTCACTTGGTTACTATTTTCAAATCCGATGTCACATCAGTAGTCACTGGGGAGTCACCAAGGTCAGTATCGTGTCCTTGTATTTTTGCATGTTGCCATGACTCCAAACCCTCCTATAAAACTACAAACACTTGGGATAGTTGGTTTGATAGTTAATCTTGATGGTCAACTTGATGGGATTTATAATCACCATGGAAACATCTCTAAGCATGTCTTTGTGGATGTTTCTAGATTTGATTTGCTGAAGTAAAAAGACCCACCCTAAATGTGGGCAGCACCATGCAATGGGGCCAAGATTCAGGACTGGATTAAAAAGAGACATGGAGCTGAGAGCCAGCACTTCTGCGTCCATGCCAGCCCAGCCATGCTGGACTGCACCCTTGACCTGTGAGACACAGTAAAGCCTGTCCTTTCTTCCTCAAGCTACTGGGTCAGGAATTTTGTCACAGAATTAAGAAAAATAACTGATGCAGTCAGATTATGAGTGGCAAAATCAAATAAAACCTTCACACAGAACCTGAACTTAATTCTATTCTAGACCTCTTCAAGAAGGCATTTGATTTCTTCTTTAGTGAATATGCATTATATAGAATATTGGGTTTTATTGTAACATTTTCATCCATGCCTATCATATCCACCCCCATGACCACCTTGCTCACTGTCCCTTACCCCTGAGTCCCCTTCCTTCTCTCTCATAGTACCCCTTCAATTTTCACAGACATGAATATTTTAATAGAAGTAATGATGCCTTTCTTGACATGGCCTAGGAGAAAAATTGATTTTGACAGAGTAAGAAACCACCTCAGAAGAAAACACGTCATATGGTGAGATGGGCAGGGATGAGGTCTAGGCAGAAGCAAGAGTGTCACCACCTGGTTTGACCAACCACAGGGGATATCCGTTTTTAGATAATAGACCAACAATTGTCAGTTTGGCAGAAAATGAAACCCCAGGGAAGTTGAACAAGAGTTAAAGGAGTCCTGTGAGAGATGGATGTGCAGGAAGAACCCAGCAACGTGAAGTCTATGGCTGCAAACCCTGGAGGTGACGTCAGACCACCTTTGGTCTCTGTCCCAGGAACTACTTTTTGAAATTTCACCTCTTTAAACCTATTCGTTCATGGCTTGGTGTTAAGAATGAAATGATCTGTAAGAGCCCTCAGAGAACACCGGTTGGTGTTACAAGCAACAGCTGCCCTAGCGGTACTATTCCTACTGTGTGTTGTGGCTACTAACTGTCAATCTAGGAATGTGCAGTATTTGGAATTTCAGACCAGCAGGTGGGTAGTGAACATGATGCAAAGCTCTCATACTCTGGAAGACAGTTGTGCAGAAGCAAGAATGGCCAGAATCTGGAGGTTGGCAGGAGCTTCTGAACAAGTCTGATCCTCAAAAGGTGGCAACAGGGATTGACTAGATGGTTCCATGATTTGGGGTACTTGCAGCCAAGCCCAATGATTTGAGTTTGATCCCCAGAACCCACATGGTAGGAGAGAACTGACTCCCAAAAGTTGTCCTCAGACTTCCATATATGTGCCAGGGCTTCGGGGCATGCCAGTGAGGAGGCTCAGTGTCTTCTCCTGGTGTGGTGGCAAACTTTCTCAATCAAGCTCTCGTGCTGTTTGCTTCCAACATCTTCTGATAAGCTCATTGGGATCTCAGAAACATCTCCATCCCTTCTCTGTTTAAAGAGGAACTGCCCTACCTCCACAGCAGCTGCAGGACCTAGGTTTTCTAGGGTCTTAGTTGATGCATTTTCCATGAACAGGGCAAACGCTAAGGCTCTCACAGGACTTGCCATGCCATCCATATTAAGCTTGCCAACAAGCAGAAGGCTGATGCTGTCCTCATGTCTTAGAACTTGCTTCTCTGACTCCTTCTTGTCTCAGCACAGGTCTAGAGAAGGAAGGCAACGTCAAGAAAACCAGCAAGTCACGATCAAATAGGGAATCCAGCAAGGAAAGGCTAAGGTTCGGGTGGAAGAGTGCCAGACAGAGGAGGCCGTGAGCCGAGTCCTGGGAGGAAAACAGAGGCAGCTGAGAGCTGAAGGTCACCCCAGGAGCTAGGACTTCCCTGCATGCCGTTTGCATTTCACATCGTTTAAAGACTGCTGGAGCCAACTGCTATACGGAAAACATGAACGTCGACAAAAAGATGCTTGGGGTGTATGTGTGTGAGTGTGTATGTGTGAGTGTGTGTGTAGGAGTGTGTATGTGTGAGTGTGTATGTATGAGTGTGTATGTATGAGTGTGTATGTGTGAGTGTGTATGTGAGAGTGTGTGTGTGAGTATATATGTGTGTGGATGTGTGTGTGTAGTGTGGATGTGTGTGACAGTGTGTGTGTGTCAGTGTGTGTGTGTGTGTGTAGTGTGTATTGTGTGACAGTGTGTGTATGTGTGAGTGTGTGTGTATGTGTGTGTAGTGTGTATGTGTGCAACAGTGTGTGTATGTGTGAGTGTGTGTGTGTAGTGTGTATGTGTGCAACAGTGTGTGTATGTGTGAGTGTGTGTGAGTGTGTGTGTGTGTGTGTGTGTGTGTGTGTGTGCTGGAGTAAACCTGGTTGTTTGCCTCTTCTGCTCAGAATAACATCTCCTTATTAGTATGTATTTATACTCAAAAGGCATATACATTTGGGCATCAATATTAATTCATCTAAAATTAATAACATATATGCATATGAATATGTAATGTGTATCATCCTGAGCATTTTTTAAGTATAGGGAGGAAGAAACAACTTCTTAAGTGTGTTAAAATGAATTGAATAAGCCAACATGCATGCACCCTTCTGAGTATCTGTACCCAAGAAATAAATGGAGTAGCTGCATGCAAAGCCCGCACAGTCATCCTTAGACTCTAGCAGAGCCAATTTCCAGTTGTAACAGGAAGAAGAGGAGGGACTTAAAAAGAGTTGAAAAGGCAACCGTGAAACCAGCTAATGGTGAGGGAAAAGGGCCATGCAGAGAGATCAAAACAGACAGGTTGATTAATTAACCTGGCAACGAGAATGTTAACAAATGGTTGTGGGCTATTTACAGTTGCTCTTCTAAGACAAGGGCCAGTTGGGTTGTGTTAGTCATGGAAAGAGCACTAAAGCCAGGAGATTAGAGCTGTAGAAGGCTATTTATGACTGCAAAGCTGTGGAATCGGTGAGGAATTCAGAGCAGTGTCCTTCTGTGGAGGTCTTTAAAACAGAATAGATTCTCATCAGTCTCATTTGAAAGGTTTAAGTGTGATCCTGCCTAAAGGCAAGGTGATGAACAAAATGAGTTCTCAAGGTCCCAGCCAGTCAACCCAGGGAGCCCACAATAAGGACTGAATGCTGGCATTTTCTTTTGTTTACCCATACCTTATTGTTTCACACCACCATGTGGCCACACCGGGTAGAAATGCTGGAAATTTTGAAACCAAACATAGGCCTTGGGATATGGCAATCGTATATGCACAAGCTCTCAGAATTGCATGGTCTCTTTGAAGACAGCCATCTGCAAACTTGGCTGGCATAGATGTGCTTTCACTGGAACCTTTCATGACCATAATTTAGAAATAAAAGCTAATTTCTGTGTTATCAAGAATAATGCCTAATTCTCTGATTGTGCAT